GTGGCTAAGCCCCTTCTTGGTGCTGCCTCTATCTCGGTAAGCGGAGCCCACCCACCAGGAACCCGCAGCCTGGCGCCTTCACTTCCCTCTTCCGCTCTGGGGCGTCGCCGGCAGCCGGGGCTCGGGCGCTTCTGGGCCTGCGCGCTGGCGGCGCTCCTTCCTCCTCGGCTTCATGCTCTCCTCTAGCCTCCTACGCCGCCCCCACTCTTCCCCGGGGAGCGCGCGCGAGGGAGGGAGCGCGCTGGATGCAGTGCGCAGGCGCGGGCTCTCCGCAGGAAAGGGGCGGGGCTGGGAGAAGAAGGCGGGGGCGGGAGGGGGCGGGGCAGAAGGGAGGGCCGAAAGCGGTGCCGCGGGCAGAGCTAAGAGGTGATTGGTCTTCCGAGGGCGTCACGTGATCCCTAGGGGGTTTCCATAGCAACGCTTCCCTGCGGTCCAGCCTAGGGGGGTCTTAGGTTGGAGGCTATGGGCACTGGGGGCGGGTGGCTTTTGCTGCCACCGCCGCTGCCAGCGACCTGTCGTCGGGGTCCTGCGTGAGGTCCGGCTGGCCCGGACTCGCCTGTGGGGTGGGATGGACTGGTTGCCAGACCAAGTCCCCTGCAGTTCGCAGGAGTATGGGGCGGAGTGATGCACGCCCGGGCGCCCAGCTTCGTTCTAGTTGTCAGAGACATCACTTCGGACCGTGCGCTGACCGTGGCTGCGTTCCGGAGCCGGGAGCCCCTTACCCGGGGTTGGAACTACGCTGCGCGGCCAGCGGGAGGTCCCCAAGGACGGAGTCGAAAGGTCATATCTTATCTGTCAGTGTTGTGTACAGCATCCCGACCGCACCTGCAGAGCCGGAACTAGGTATTATATGCATTGCGAGGGAGGGGGATGTTTTGGGCAGGGCCTGGGGTGACAAACTGGGTGAACCTGTGGAATTTGGGGTAGGGGCAGTCACTGACATCTTAAAATAAGTGGTGGTTGGCAGCAAGAAGGCTAGAAAACGGTAGGGGCAAGTTATGCTCTCCGGTGCTGAGGGGAAACAAAATTAAGGATTTGTAAGGATTAATAGAAACCAGACCTTTAAGATATATATTTGTGATTTAAGATTTATATGATCCTGCTAGGCCAGCTTTGTAATTACATTTGAGATCCTCGTTTCTGAGAGCAAAGCTCTAGGAGGTTAAGACATTAAAACTAAGGAAATGGTAGTTGTGGTGTGTGTATAACACTGAAGTACAAATATTTGCAGAATAAAATTATTTTGGACATTTAGCTGGACACTGCTCAGATAGCTTTATATTTTCCTGACATCCTATCAGATCTAGTTCAATTCCATCTGTAGCAGAAAGCTGGCTGTTGCCCTGTTAATACCCCAATCCTTGGTTTCCTGTGCTGTTTTGAAATGAGCACTGGACTTAGAATTAGAATACCCTGGCTCAAGCCTTGACTTCCACTCATAATCTATTTGATTGAGGCTGCCACTTAAAATTTTGAATTTCAGATTCCTTGTTGTTAAAGTGGAGCTAATAATGTGTACTTCACAAGATTGTTATGAGGATTAAATACAGGAAAGTGTTTTGAAGCTCTAAAATTCTACATAAATGTAAAATGCATGTTAACTTGTACCATTGATTTTGGCACTAGTCTTATGAATTACTTAATGATATATCGTGTTTTATCTTGCTCCTGAAAGAGAGCAAAAGATTCCGGAGGGCAAAGTCTTGGGTTATATTTATTTTCTATCTTTCTTTACCTCTGATATGATGCTAAGCATGCAGAAGGTACTCAATACATTCAGGTACTCGATTATTTATTGATGAATGAATGAAATGTGAAAGGCAGTAGTTTGAAAGTCACCACACTGAGCATAATGAATCAGTAAGAGGAAGAGGGATCTCAAAATCAAACATTTGTTCGACAGATATGCATACATATGTATATATGGATATCTATATCTACATCGACATGTATGCATATGTATATATGTGGATATATATGTATATAGATATACATATATATATAGAGAGAGAGAGAGACAGAGACAGAGAGAGACAAAGAGAGTTCACAGGAATGGAATGCATCCTTTCCTCTTGGGAGGAGGAAGCAATATGGCACTTTTCTCTTCCCAATTAAATCACCCTTCTAGAAAATATATCATTTAGGTGATAGAAATGACATTTCTTTAAATTAACATTCAAGTTATGAGCAAGCACACTGATAAAAACTCCCCCAAGGACTGTTTTAAGAGAGCAAAGGAAAATTTTCTACCTGTTGGTACTATTTATTTTACAAAGTCGTATACCGAAGTATAAGACCATTACTATGGTAAGTGGCATTATATAATTTAGAATAAAGACTTGTTTTAATATTTCCTCCTCAGTTTCCATCTTTTGCTAACTTTAGTAAGAGCCAAACAGTATACCTATTTTGATGTTAAAGATGATTGTACTTTTTGTTCTTCTAAATCAAGATTTTTCTTTGAAGAGAAAATGAAACATTAGAAGTGCTTTTGAGAGTAAACGGAAACAAGAATTTAAGAGCTAATGTATCCCCTCTCTTACATTTCTCTTCTTTTGCATTAGGACTTATTTAGGAAATGTCTTTATTCTCTTATTTTAGAACTGGAAAAGAATCCTGGTGTAGAAATCAACTCAAGGGAACAGTGAAAGGAATTTAAAGAGTCGAGTTGCTCAAGGGTAGAAGTGATTTGATTACTCAGAATTTTGTTCTATATGTTGAATGTGTTAAATATAATTAATTCTCAGCTGCATATTGCATAATACATTTGAGATGTAATAATATCCAAAAAGTCCTTTCCCAGTGCAGTGTTTTTTTACTGTCTCACAATGATAATTATCTAGAACATAGTAGGCATGCCACACATTTTTATCCGATGAATTAATAATCTGACAATATTGCAGTCATATTTAGAGATCAAATATTTCTTTTTTTTCCCTCTGAAGTTTATTTTGAGGGGGTGTGTGTGCATGTGAGTTGGGGAGGGGCAGAGTGAGAGGG